GGGGGGGGGGGGTCACGGAAGGAGATCGGAATAAGGGAGGGGTAGCTACTCACTGTTTGCAATATAGGCTTCTTTCATCGTATCTATATAAAACCTATATCGGAGGCTTAAACACGTGTTACACGATGCGCAAGATGAGGGTTACATTGCTCTTATATATGTTTATCACGGGGTTATACGGGAGCAGGTAATGGGGTCGTACTACGCATGCGCGCACGCATCTTATGATTTATTCTCGGTTGGCCTTTACGCTTCGTCGGGTGTCTACGTGGCCACCCTTTTGATTTATATCCATGGGTGGTCTTCGAGAGTGGCAAACCTTCCCTACCCCTTCTCTTCCTTTAAATTCTATGTTTGATATATGGGGGGTTGCTGGCTGGTAATGTTTGCTACTAGTTAGCTTTTCTATCCTTTGGTTAGGGAATGTGCTTTGTACGTATTAGCAGGTTTCGCTCGAGTTGTCAACAAGTGAAACCACTGTGGTCTAAACGTCACAGGATTAATAAGTGTTCTTGTTAAAATATGAGCAAGTGGAGGAAACAACGTAGCTCGACGTACAAGTCGAAGCTATTATGATATATGTGTGTGTGTATATATATATATATATATATTCATTATAAATGTCAAGCATTCATATCTCTGTAATTTTCATGTTTTTCAGTGTTTATATTTATATTGTGCAAAGTGAAATTTTTTTAAAATGAATTCAAGGAAAAATCAAGCTGGTAACGTATGAAGGGAGTTTATAGAGCACTGCAAAATAATATTGTTTGTCGTTACATAGGAAAATATTGACTTTTGACTCGCAATCGATTTGATTAATTTTATATTGGATATTCGGTAGGCTGGGATGGTCGGGGGGTTGTGAATATGTAAACGAAAAAGGTAAATAGAACAATGGATATGGGGTTCGGAGCCGTGGCCGAAACACGTGGCGCAAAAGAGCGTTGGCTCGTGGTGCCAAATTGGAAACGTGAATTTCTCGCGTGTTAAATCAATCGTGAATAAGATCCCAACCATGCAGAGAAATTTAAACGTTAATCGAAAGGAAGTGAGAGTTAGGGAGAGAAAATAAGTGGAAATACCGTAACACTAATGTTTCAGAGCAGCCAGGCACATTGCTTATACATATTGCACGCTGCGCACGCGCAGTACCAAACAAATCCATCGAACCAATCGACCAATCATTCGTCAATCAATATACAATTATAGGCGTATGCACACACGTGATATAATCGCACACAAAACATTCCAAAAAAAATAAATATATATGTATAATTTTAAAAAAGTACAATAGACATAATAATAATATATATATAAAATTTATTCGAGTGATAATAAAAATAAAAAATTATCATCAAGACCAAGAGAGGCCTACCAACAAAATTTACAAAACAGCGCCATATTGTCTCATGTGTCGACTGTGTATCGTTAAGAAGATGTATCTCGATTAAAGATAACCTGCCTTAATATCTTCATCTGTTATCAGAGGCTCCCTTGAAGGGAAACCTCGAAATATAAAAAACGACGAAACTTCCAGCGCACATTGATACCACCATTAGGAGCCCAACAATTGGATTTCAGCTCAGTTCCCTAATAAACTTTCCATGCGAAGAAATTGTCTCCCTTGCATGCGTCACGGCGAAAGATAACATCTTATCAAAATCATTCCATAACGTTACGCGAAATACGTCCTTGTCAATTTGCCACAGAATTCAGCCCCACCCGTCAATCACTAGTAAAAGTACAGTCACTGCCAATGCTTGCACACTCGTTGAAATGCACATGGTATATCTATATACAATAACGTATATAGATATACAACTCACGTATTTCGCCTCGCAATGCAACTCCATTATAAACATGTCCATTGTCTAATATCAGTCGCGATCAAAGGTGCCATCTCCTTGTGCACTAACCGTACAAAGGAGTCCCATGAATCCGATACCGTTATCGAACTACGAACATTATTTAAAATAAAAAACCATGCAACCGTGTATTTCGAAGATCATTAAAATTTACCACATAACGCACGAAGCTTTCTTACGCAACGCGCAAGGACGTCTCGTAACGTATAAAAATGTCAATAACGGCGTCCCTCGCTCGTAATCGTCACGGTTCACGTCTCCGTGCGCGCAGCTTAAATTATTCTGCCACGTGACAGAACAACGCTCTGAAAATATACCATCTTTATTCTGCACAGCTCCGGGCCTCCGCCACTGCGTGAAACAATCTTAAATTCCCCGGATCGTATATCCCACGTACAATGGAATAAACATTCGAGCTCATTTTGCCGGTACACGCTATTCCATATTTATCCTTTTGACGAGAGGATTTGCTCCGCTAACGATACTGGATTGTTAACCTTGATAAAAGATCCCAACGCTGGTACGAAAACTCGGTATTATAGATATATGTATATACATATATATAAATACCCGTGTAGTTGACGTAATACCCCTATAGGCCAAAGTAAATACGAGTATATGTACTTTACACACGATACATTAATATATATATATATATATATATATATATATATATATACATATAACCCATATTCTATGCAGTAGCCAATCAAAACCACTCAATCTCTCATGTGTCAAACAGTCACTCGATCGTTCGTCGTTCAATCAATTTCACAATCTGAAATCAGCAATACCAGATCAATATAGATTATGTAAAATAGATCAGCCACAGAGAACACAGCGCATTCCCGACACATACGTTAGCCCAAGTCCAAAGCTATGTTCCATCAAAGGCGCGCGAATGCGTATCGTTTCATTCGATATATATAACAATTGTGAGTGTTACATGTAAAATGTGTGTTTGCCGGTGATGCCTTAAAGCCGATACGTGAGAACGCGACTATTAATGTGCTGATAGTGAATAATGTACTGTTTGATGTGTGTAATAATAATAATAATAATAACAATAACT